TTGATACAATTTTTGACAAAGTAGCAGCCATAAAATCCCAACAGATTTGCAAATATTTCACTTTGAGATCAAAAGGACACATTAGGGAGGGGGTCAAATTGACAAAATTTCAAGATATAAATACTGTTTCTATGGTAACCATATCAGTTGGAGATTGGAAATTTCTGGCACTTACTAACCATAACATGCCCTACCCAATATAAAACAATGAATATCTGACATAGTGGGGGGAATTTGCTGGAAAATATTTCAATTGGTGATACAAGCAAATTTAATGGCTTAATCTGTTATTTATGTTATTAGGAAAAATTCCATCTCTGTGATCAATAAAACCGAACACTATTTCGAGAAAAATTCAAGATGGCCGCCATATAGGCATAATTTGGTACAAATAACACTCTAGATTCATATATAGAGATAGATATGGTTTAAAATAATATTGGAACAGGAGCAAAGCATGTTGTTTACATCTAGAAATACAGTCACATTCATTAATGATTTGAATTTGGACAAAATGATTTTATATAGGGATTCTACAAGGTTCTATTTTGGGAGGGCTCTTATTTTTCAACAACTGAAGTCTGTATTTGTAAGTCCTGACTTTTTACATCTCTTATTATGCTATTAGAAAAAATTCCATCCCTGTGATCTATAAATCGAACACTATTTCAAGAAAAATCCAAAATGGCGGCCATATATGCATAATTTGGTACAAATAACACTATAGATTCATATATAGAGATAAATGTGGTTTAAAAATAATACTGTTTCAGTAGTAAAGCATGTTGTTTACATCTAGAAATACAGACACATTCATTAATGATTTGAATTTGGACAAAATTACTTTATATAGGGATTTTACAAGGTTCTATTTTGGGAGGGCTCTTATTTTGCAACAATTGAAGTGAATGAACCTGTTTTCTTGAATAAGATAATATTTCACACATCTTTTCAATCTAATATTTCAAGTTCAAGTTAAATTATTGTCTTACAAGTATAAAATAGCCTTTAAAGGAGTTCCACATGGTTCCTTTTTACTCTGTTATAATCACAATCTCATATATACTGTCATAAAATGTTAATGACTTATACAGAATTGCATGTGCAATTGCACAAGTCTGTATTTGTAAGTCCTGACTTTTTACATCTGTTATTATGCTATTAGGAAAAATTCCATCCCTGTGATCGATAAAACCGAACAGTATTTTAAGAAAAATTCAAAATGGCCGCCATATACGCATAATTTGGTACAAATAACACTGTAGATTCATATATAGAGATAAATGTGGTTTAAAAATTACTGTTTCAGTAGTAAAGCATGTTGTTTACATCTAGTGTTTTGGGAGGGCTCTTATTTTGCAACAACTTAAGTGAATGAACCTGTTTTCTTGAATAAAGATAATATTTCAAACATAATTTTATCTTATATTTCAGGTTCAAATTAAATTATTGTCTTCCAAATACAAAATAGCCTTTGAAGGAGTTCCACATGGATCTTTTTTACTCTGTTATAATTTCAATCTCATAAATACTGTCACAAAATGTAAGTCCTGGCTTTTTACAAGTGCATACAGAACATAGCTTTTTATATGAACATTGTACAAGAGCTTGGCAGGCTTTGGAGGACTGTGTCTGGGTTGTCCACAGTGGGGTAACAGTTTCATTATTGTCCCATCCCCAGTTGATGTAGTCATAAAGGCCAGGTGGTGAGGCATTTAGCATTTGTCCCCAAACTACACCAGCCTGGTAAGCTGTTCCTTTAATGTGCTATTCCAAGGCATGTGAGTAGGTGGAATTCTCTCAATTGGTCTTTCTTTTTTAGCAAAATAAGCACTTTCTGGGTGTATTTTATCAATTGTTTCACTTGTTCTGTATATGGAAAACACCCACATATGAGTTGGGCTGTTGCCCTAGTACATGTAGTTGTTGCAGATGTGTCATGTTTGCAAAATGTTAGAATAGATTTTTTACCATATTTTATATTCATTTTTGTTTATTCTTAAAAAACCATCCATGGCCTTAGCCAAAATTAATTGTTCATTAAATATTATTTAGAAATTGTGATAATTTAGTAATTCAAAATAATTGTAGAATATTGGAAGATTTAATTTCTAATTAGCAAATTCCTACCCAAATTTTAAATTATCTTCCCTCCAATCGTTTCCTTCCTCTTTACTGAGGAGTCATAACATACCACATATTTGATTTTCACAATTAAAGGACACGGTGTCCAACACAAACGCTCTTACATGCAAGATTGAGCGTTTCATTACTGAAACTAAACAAAGAAACGCTCTGGAGTATGGCGAACGGAAATGATGAGTCATCTGACAATTTCCCCAATGATGGGAATAAGAAGTATGTGTTACTTATTTCAAGTATACCATTTGATGGGTGTGATATATTGTACTTGGATGGCTGTTGACGTTTGAAGCAATTAGGAAGAACTGTCTTAAGCAGTATAGTTATCTAAATTCATAAACGTATTTGTCATTCTTCCTGTCAAAACCCTGTTTGTCGTGACATGCGACTAGTTGAGTTGAGCATCAGAGTATATTTTGGTCAAATTCCAAATCTTGATCACACCATACATTATCGTCATCGTGATTTGATAACAAAAAATCAAGTCTTAAAAATGATGACATTCTCATATTCAAGAAATGCTGCGATCTGGTTAACACAGTGAACTGGAAACACTGCGGTACTAGGCTCAACTTTCCTTTTCAAGGAGAGAAAGAAAAGATCTACTGTATCCTTTGGCATCAAAAGAAGAAAGATTAATTCACATATAAACTTTTTGTTCAATAGTTTTATGTTTTAGAGCAAATTTCATATAAATACTAATTTAATTCGTAATTTGTGGTCAATTCGTCAACTTCAGATTTGTTTGATCTACACTACGGAGCTTTGATCAGGGTATTGTTCATCGAATGGTACATAATATGTCACCATAACGCGTGATATGTAAGAGAAACTAGTGAAACAATACTTACAGTCATAGTGGGATCTTCATTAGCCCGGTTTCCGCATGGATGAAACATTCCGTTGTGCATGTAAGAGCGTTTGGGTTGGACACCGTGAAAGAATGCATAAGATATATTTATGGGATGAATTAATATTTTACATTTAATCAAAATTCTACAAATAATGGTAGATTTTTGTTAGATTTAAATTTTGCAAATTCTTACTCAAATTTCACATCACCTTCCTGCTTGGTATTTCATTCCTCCTTACTGAAGACTCATGGAAAACCACATATTTCATATTCATACTCAATAATGCATAGAATACATTGATGGACTGTATTAATGTTTTTAACCTCAACCAAAATTTAATGAATGATTGAATTTGCTTTTAGTGGTCCTGATGTCGCTGTAATAGTCTGTAATTGTGAATGCATGGTAAATGTCTGTACTCGATAAACCGTTTATTTGTGAAAATCCTTCAATTCTTTAGGCTACGGTCATTTATACAAACTAATTTGATATGTAGCAGAGCATAAAAATCTAAAATTTAAGAACAGTCTTACTAATTATGTTTAATTCATAGGAGTAGGGTTATACAAACTTATAAATGAACAAAATAAGAGGGGGGCCAGAAATGATCCTTGCTTAACTCCCATATAATTATCTATTTTGACTTAAGCTCACGACACGTATTATGTGGTGTCCCTATTAGTGCATTTAGTCCTGAAAACACAATTTAAACTTTACATTTCAGCTGTATTTGCCAAATCAGAGCTAAATATATTTTCAGAGCTATAGTGTGTCGGCCATCTTGGATTTTGGGGGGAAAAAGTAAAAAAATCCATTGATCACAGGGACAGATTTTTTTTAAAAGGTTTGAAGTAGTAGAAAAGCAAAACTTTATGCTTGTATCACGATCTGAAATATTCTGCCAAATATAGGGGTAAATTCCCCCACTAACATGCATTAGTATTCTTTTTATTGGGTGGTATTAAAGTACCCCCATGGTTTTTTGGGGGTAGGGGTATAAATTGGTCTGAGGGCCGTCTGCCACCCCTATAGAAAGTCCAACTACCCAGAAAGTGTCTAGTATCATCATACAGATGGTTTGAAATAGGTTGGAATGTGTAACCTTTCATGTAAGGAAGGAGTTACAATTATCAGAGTGGGCCGTAGTCTATTACTTCAGAATATGTGACATAAATGGTGGTCCCAGGGTACCTGTACCCCCTTCACGAAAATAAAGATATATCAACATGCATTACATATCTTGTCTTCAAATCTTCAGAGTCGATAGATAATTGAATGATGTATCACTGGTGAAAAGATCAAAGAGATTGGTCAATAAAAAGCATCCACGTAAAAAAGCGTCCATTACTTATTGATCACCCCTCGTATATCCAAATCCCAAAATCAGCTTCTTTTAGCATCTCAACCCATCCTATTATTAAGATGGGCCTATTTGCTTGATTGAAATCTCTAATTTCTCCCTCTAAAGTACCTGAAAGTGCTTTTAAACAACTACATTCCGTGGACTGTATAATACAGATGTTATGGCCATCTAGGGCTCAGACCACAATGTCATGGAAGTTCAAAAGGTTTTACCAATCTGGAAATTGGCTCTATATCAATTTTACTATATCATACTTTTATCTCACGTAATTGTCAGCGCAAACTAGCATAATTTTAAAAATTAATTAAATTATCATATTATGTATGATGGCTACTAAATCACACATTTTTTGTGAATTTATTGAAGTTTATAAATTCTTTAAATGCTTATAGATTTTCAAATGCATTTAGAAAACCAGAAACCTGATTTCATAGGCTCTCTATGTGAGCCAAAAAGGAGTCATTTTGATGTATTTCCAAAAAACAGTAAACTTTGCAATTTTCACAATACACAGATTACAAAGGTGTAAACATAGTAGCTTGGATGAAACAACACACCTTTTTTCCTGATCACTTTTTCATTTTTCAATAAAAGGGATAAACTTGTTCAATCCCGGCTACTATCTAACATATTGAACTTACAACTGGTTTTATTTTTAATTCTTCCTTTTCCCTATCACCCTGTTCAAAGAATTCATCAGCCACCAATTTGGCAACATTTTTCTGCACCTCCCATGGTTTAGAGATAGCAGAGACATCACAGGCTGTCATCATCATACTTCTACAATGACATGATATAACATAATACAGTAAAACTTCAAATGGTTTGGAGATAGCAAAGACATCACAGGCTGTCATCATCATACTTCTACAATGACATGATATAACATAATACAGTAATACCTCCAATGGTTTAGATATAGCAGAGACATCACAGGCTGTCATCATCATACTTCTACAATGACATGATATAACATAATACACTAAAACCTCCAATGGTTTAGATATAGCAGAGACATCACAGGCTGTCATCATCATACTTCTACAATGACATGATATAACATAATACAGTAATACCTCCAATGGTTTAGATATAGCAGAGACATCACAGGCTGTCATCATCATACTTCTACAATGACATGATATAACATAATACACTAAAACCTCCAATGGTTTAGAGATAGCAGAGACATCACAGGCTGTCATCATCATACTTCTACAATGACATGATATAACATAATATACATGTACTGTATAAGTGATAATTTTGCCTAATCATTTAATTTATCCTATTGCCTAGTTTTTGCCAGGTTCGGAAAATTAAATGTTGCAAACATTATCTTCATAATGTTATCGTATGGGAAGTTTCTTGTTATTAGGAAAATTAAAAAAAATATGAAAATGATAAAATTTGACCATTCAGCAAATTAACCACTTAGATTAAATACCACTTGTATGGTAATATATTGTGATATAATATTACACAAATCGTAACTGCCATGGAGGGGAAAGGGTCCTAAATTGTGAGGAAATGACAGGATATCAGACACTCCCAGGCCAGTAGCCAGAGGAATTCAATGGGTTCAATAGAATCTGTCCCTCCCCTGACCAAAAGTTCTTTCAAAATCATGCAGTTTTCACTATTTTTCAATTTGAGAATTGAACCCCCCTGGCAAAAGCAGGTTACAGGCCTGACTGCATTAAAATTCTAAAATAAGCATATATAGACGACATATCAGTCTGAGCAAATGACATATGAGTCAGAATATTTACCTGAGAAGTTCCCTGTGTTCATCATTCGCCCAATCTGCCTGGCCAGAGTTCACCATGTTGAAGAATTCCCCTCTATACCTAGAAAACAAAATAGCAAATGAGCCAGGCCACGGGAAAAGGAGTCTTATCACAGATTTTTTCAATGTTTTGATTTTTTGTTTTTCTTGAAAACCACAAAGAGACCTTTCAAATGAGCCATGGCTTGTGTCTTAACAAGTTTTTCTTGCAGGTATAGACCAAAAAGACTGATTTGAATTTAGTACATTTCCTCTTAATCTTGGGCACATTTTTGGCTCTGTAGCACAATTTAAATTTTTGTGACCGGTTTTCCTATGACGAGGCTCAAATATTCATATGTAGCTCCATCTTTTAACCTCTTGAATCCCAGGTTCCAAAATCGGTTGAAACTAGAGAATTTTTTAGTTTTGGTTTTTGCTTTTAACATTTTACTACATACAAATAAAACAGGTTATGCTCATTTTAGTAAAATGAGACAGCAAAGATGGTTCCTCGCCATTCTAGCTATTTTATGTAAATTTTTATGTTAATTGGATGAAAATTGCTCAAATAAGAGCAGACAGATCATCTCGTCACTCTGGGTTTCAAAATTATTTCTGAGGTGATGAGAAATCTCGTCACTCTGGGTAGTCAAGAGGTTAAAAGGCTTAATAATTTCTCGCATCATGCATCAATTTAATAACAGCTCATTTCTAATTGAATGATATATTTTAAAGCTAAATTGTTACTGCGTATTTAAGCACCTACCTGAAATAAAGCGCTAGATCTGTTGCTAGGATTGCACCTTCTAGTATCTTAATGGCATGTTCATATTGGTCCTGTGACAAGTTACTTAATATTTCTGTACCCTAAAACAGAATCAAGTCCTAAATTATTTTTCAGAAAGATACTAGCAGGAATATATAATGCTTTATTTATTATTGCAGAGCCTCTATCCTCGACCCAACCACGTAAAAATTATAACCAAGATTTCAGGCCACGTGAGTCAAAGTCTAGGAGGCCTGGATTTGTCTAACAACTGAAATACTCCTATTGTGTTCACGCATAAATATATACACCTATATTGTTCCTACCCCTAAATCATAATAGCCCCAATGTGTTTAACCCTCAGGTATATTACCCACAATGCATCTAAACCTTGAAGTATATAACCACTAATGTGCCTTACCCCTGAAGTATATTACAGCAAATGTGATTAACCCCTAACATATATTACCCCTTATGGACATCTCTAGAATCCTTAAAAATTTCGCCACTGTGTGCTTCCCCCCTAATATGGCTTACCTTAGTACTGAGTATCATGATACACTGGTCAAAATGGTGGTGTTCCATCACAGAGGTAGAGTATAACTGAGCTAGGGGGGACATGGTTTTGATCTGGAACTGGTTGTTGGTACCTCTATGGTCAAGGTCATGGCAAAGGCAGGCCACCAAGAGGGCAAGGATCTCAAGGTCCGTGAGCGAGGACCTCATGTTGTCTTGCTGAAAACATACAACAACAAGGTATTATGCAAAATGTCACTACCTGCCATTTGTTACATACAGATGCTGACTTCAAAATGCCAACACCCAAACATCCATAAAATGTTGCCAAGTAAATTCTGCAAATATACCTTGATAATACAAGATAATGTAGTACCCTGGACAGGTTGAATGATGCAGTCGCGTTTTTCTCTATATTTGCAATGGAACAACCATTCTTATTGAAATTATATACTAAGTTGAAAGTATGTCAGCATCTATGATACAATGTTGGCCATTAATGGTACAATAACAGAGTTGAATACAGGCCTTTATAATTATGGTAAAATATACTGGTACAATGTAATCATACAATAATGTATTTGACATGTATACATACCTTTATGATACAATACATTGTCTGTGCTACGTTGAAGGCATGCCGCCAATTATGGTACAATACTGGCCGATAGTTTTTCTTGACGCTTAGCAACCACCTGCACATCATCTGTAAGAAAGAAATACCAATGGTGAACAATAGAAAACAATGGTGTTGATAAGGGTGTTATGGTAACCAAAGTCCAATGTACAACAAACAAATGGTGAACAACAGAAATAATGAAAATGCGAACAGTCTACAGTTTTTAAGAACAACAGGCATTCCTTTGAACTAAGTTCATGAAACTGATTCGATACAAAATAGATGTCACCTTTAAAATGGAGATAAATTATCCCATAACACAGAGCTGATGTATCCATACTCTGAGTCAGAAGAAGTGAGTAGCTCCCATAATACTATCATATTCTATCTTATTCAGAGATTCCCCTTAGCTATCCCATATGGTCATACAAGCCTTATATGTAGGGATGGGACGGTTCGTTTTGGTTCGGTTCGGTTTTTTGGATCATCAGCCGTCGGTTCGGTTTTTTCGGTTCGGTTCATTCATTTTAAGGATTTGTATTGATTGACATGATTAGCTGCTTAATGTCTCTGACTTAACTGTCCAAACAGCTGATTTTAGCTTTGTGGGGGCTGCAATAATCTTCATTTCTTTTGGGAAAACGGGAATTTGAGATCCAGACGCCATATTTGAATGTATTGTGGGTGCGCACAAAATAATACCCTATATCGAACCTGCGCAAATATAAATTTGCGCAAATCTTTGTATCAATTATGCCACGTTATAACAATATTTTATAGATGGAATTTTATGTTATAGTATTTCATGAACAATACATATTATTTAGAATACACTAAAGAATATAGTACCAGGGACCACATGATTGATTACCGAGGGATACGAATACGCGGATACGAAACGAATCTAGTAAACGAGTGAGCTAGCAACAGACAAGACAGACAAGGTAGGGACTAGGAATATCAAAAATGTTGCTGTAAAACAGTGTTTTTAACTGTTTTATTGATACTTGACCAATGAAATATTAATCCGAAAACGATCTGAAAAGCTGATCCGAAAGTAGGGCCATGATCTGAAAACCGATCCGAAGGCTATGAACCGCGGTTTTTCGGTATTACGGTTATCCGTCCCACCCCTACTTATATGGATCTATCACATGATATTCAAAATGGTGGACAATGGTCAGTTGGATTCCTATATGGTCATGTAAGCCTTATATGGATCTAGCACATGGGTACCACGTGATCGAATATGAAGGCTGAACTTTGGGAGATCTCCCCCCCCTGCTCTGAGTAGAGCTTGACAGTAGGTATTTTTGAGAGTGTATATTTCACACAAATACTGAATAAAGAATCATTACCCCAAAAATGTTACCTGGGAATCCTTTTGAGGAGAATTCAAGAAATCCTTACATAAATTCTACTCACATCATAACTTATGTGGAATTTTTCAATGAGATCTAGGTCTAGGAACATGCGTATAGTGGCTTTAAGAGTGTGGTCATCATCGAGGTTGAAATCGCTGAATGTGTACTCGTTCAGTCTGTAGTAATGAGCTGAGGGGATTGGCATTTTCTGAAAACAAATAAATTAGTATGTTAAAAGCTCAACTTAAATTTCAGACTACAAACCTTTGAGCTGGAAGAAAAACAAAGTGTGAGATTTGACCAAGAAACCAAGAATTTGACCTGACCTTGACCTCTGACCTTTCATTGCCATTCAATCCATTGGAAATAAGAGACACCTACTTTTACTTCAGGTTCAATTTTATATATTTATCAACTTATTTTTCATTTTTTTCCTATAAATGAGTGAAAGACCACAAATTCAACATTGAAATATTCAAGCCAATTTTATAATTCAAAACCAGCGACAATTAATTGTTTTTTTTGATTTCCTTGTTTCTATATAATTTATACTACATCTACAATGAATGAACATGTCATCATTTTTAAATCTAAGTTTTCTACTTATTCACATAAGAAATGGTAACTGTCAAAAATTGCATTAATCCAAGTAGAACACAAGTGCTGATAAAAAATAACGTAAGAGCTTAATTATTTTAATGAGACAGGTAAAAAACTAAGCAAATGAAAGATAAGATTATTCTATCGTCTATTTCATAATTACCCACAAGGAAAATATTGGTTGTTCTATAATATTTCAAAATGCAAAACTTCAAAGTGGAAATCGGTGGAATTATTTAAGGTACAGTAAACACTAAATGATAAATCAAGATATTGTTCCTGTGTATGTGTTCATGTTTTGGGATATTTGGGACTGTTTTTTCTTTATGACTGTTCTTCTCTAAATGTATTTTAATGAAAACTAATACTAAGTTAATGGTAGGCAGATTGGAAAAATGTTCTTCTTTTAATTATGGGAATGTTTACCTTAGAGGTGATCTACATGTTTACAGTATTTTTAATCTAAACTGAATGTATAAATGCTGTGTTTTGTCTCCTAAGGGAGAACAGACATCCCACAGGAGAGCACTTCCAGGGAGTACAGACCTCCCACAGGAGAGCACTTCCAGGGAGTACAGACCTCCCACAGGAGAGCACTTCCAGGGAGTACAGACCTCCCACAGGAGAGCACTTCCAGGGAGTACAGACCTCCCACAGGAGAGCACTTCCAGGGAGTACAGACCTCCCACAGGAGAGCACTTCGAGGGAGTACAGACCTTCCACAGGAGAGCACTTCCAGGGAGTACAGATCTCCCACAGGAGAGCACTTCCAGGGAGTACAGATCTCCCACAGGAGAGCACTTCCAGGGAGTACAGACCTCCCACAGGAGAGCACTTCCAGGGAGTACAGATCTCCCACAGGAGAGCACTTCCAGGGAGTACAGATCTCCCACAGGAGAGCACTTCCAGGGAGTACAGACCTCCCACAGGAGAGCACTTCCAGGGAGTAAATACCTCCCACAGGAGAGCACTTCCAGGGAGTACAGACCTTCCACAGGAGAGCACTTCCAGGGAGTACAGACCTCCCACAGGAGAGCACTTCCAGGGAGTACAGACCTTCCACAGGAGAGCACTTCCAGGGAGTACAGACCTCCCACAGGAGAGCACTTCCAGGGAGTACAGACCTCCCACAGGAGAGCACTTCCAGGGAGTACAGACCTCCCACAGGAGAGCACTTCCAGGGAGTACAGACTTCCCACAGGAGAGCACTTCCAGGGAGTACAGATCTCCCACAGGAGAGCACTTCCAGGGAGTACAGATCTCCCACAGGAGAGCACTTCCAGGGAGTACAGACCTCCCACAGGAGAGCACTTCCAGGGAGTACAGACCTTCCACAGGAGAGCACTTCCAGGGAGTACAGACCTCCCACAGGAGAGCACTTCCAGGGAGTACAGACCTCCCACAGGAGAGCACTTCCAGGGAGTACAGACCTCCCACAGGAGAGCACTTCCAGGGAGTACAGACTTCCCACAGGAGAGCACTTCCAGGGAGTACAGATCTCCCACAGGAGAGCACTTCCAGGGAGTACAGATCTCCCACAGGAGAGCACTTCCAGGGAGTAAATACCTCCCACAGGAGAGCACTTCCAGGGAGTACAGACCTCCCACAGGAGAGCACTTCCAGGGAGTACAGACCTCCCACAGGAGAGCACTTCCAGGGAGTACAGACCTCCCACAGGAGAGCACTTCCAGGGAGTACAGACCTCCCACAGGAGAGCACTTCCAGGGAGTACAGACCTTCCACAGGAGAGCACTTCCAGGGAGTACAGACCTCCCACAGGAGAGCACTTCCAGGGAGTACAGACCTCCCACAGGAGAGCACTTCCAGGGAGTACAGACCTCCCACAGGAGAGCACTTCGAGGTGGTCAGATTTCAATAATGAATAAGCAATATAAGCCTCAGCTTGAAAGCATTATCAACTACAACTGAAAATTTAGAAATCAGATTAAGGATTCATGATACTAATAAACTTTTTATCTACTCCAAACCGTCATATATCAGTTTTATAGATGACAAATTACACTTAAGTATACTTACTATACATAGAACCCTGGCAATAGAAATCACTGTAAGTCTCGTTTTTTTATTTAATGGATAATGGCATTTGTGGCCATAGGAAGGAATTAAGTAGACTAACATGAAGTTTATTGTAATTTGAATTCATTGCAATGTAGCAAAATCAACAAAAGAAGAAAAAATCAGAGGGATATATTTGAGATGAGCAAATTTTATTTGGAGACTTTAATTGATTATAATACAATAGTAGGGTAGACATTTTTTAATAGAAAGGCCATAAAAGCTTCATATCAAAAAGATCTTTATATTTTAATTGACTTTGTGAATTCAATTACACTCTGGAAAGATAAGACTGAGGTTAAAGTAGTTAAATTCTTAGTTTAGTAACTAATTTCCTTTAGTATTAGGATAATGATTACCCTGAGACTTTGAGTATTTTAGTAAGAATAACTAAACTCTCTAAGGACAAACAATTCATGAGAGCTTTTAAAAGGGAGAAATACTGATTTGAGTGACCTTATCTGATTGGGTAAGACTAGATCATGGAGTTATCTCATATTGAAACAGTGTAGATGAAGCCCTCTTTTAAGATGACAAGTAAATCCTTAAATCTTCTTTAAGCATCAAAGTTGAATACTTTTTTGTAATTGTTTTATTCTTAAGCAAGTCTTAACTGTTTGCAGTCTTAGAATGAGTTATAGCACAAGATCAGGGTCCAAAAATATTTTGGAATTTGAACAATTTTCCAAAATTGTTTTCCGAATAAGGCCCATTTTGAATGAACCCTTCATTTGAATTTTGGCCGTACCTTAGATATGGCTTCATTTTTCCTTTTTAGACCTGTAGCAGGAAGGCCAAAAGGTTTATTTTCCCAAGAAATAACTCTAAAGCCGGCCTTAATTAGCCCTGGTTCTAAACACCTGAGTATATAAGCTTTCCAACAGTATATAATAATTTATCTATTAGGTATTTTGGAAATTAAGCTGCCCTTTTTAATCTCTTGATTACCTGGAGTGACGAGATATCTCATCACCTCAGAAATGACCTTGAAACCCAAATCCGTCACAAAATTTTTCACTAAAATTGCTCTTATTGAACAATTTTCATCCAATTTTAACAAAACTTGTTTTAGAGTTTGTAGAAATGATCTCCACTGTCTGATTTTACTAAGTTGAGCATCTGAAGTAGTATGAATGAAGTTAAATATCAAAAGGTGGCAAAAATAAAAAATTCTCTGGTTTCAACCAATTTTAAAGACTGGGATTCAAGAGGTTAAGCAACTTTTTGGCAATTAGCTACTGTAGGTTCCACAGCCTTTAATAGCCTTAGGGAGTGGTTCCGATGAATCAGAATACATGTACTTACCTTCAGTTTATTGGCTTCTTCAATTGGAGCTATAGCATGGTAAGACATCACATCAATTGCTATTCGTTTCTTTGCCATGGCACGCACAGCTTTTTCATACATCTGAGTGTTGTTGATGCCAAGACCACAGAATATGGCAAAGGCCTAAAATATAAAATGGAAATGCATTCAAGTAATCAAATCAGGGGCTTGAGAGGAATAAGGTAAAAACCTAACAAGATTAACGTGCAAAATATCCCCACCTGCTATTTGATACAGATGCTGAATCCCAAACCCCAATCAACCCCCCCTCTATTATACAATTCCCTAGCCAGTGATTATTATTAGACTCTAAGTGAGAAGGTGTATGGTGTAGTCACTTTGTGGGGGGGGGGGGGAGTCACAGGGCGTTGGAGCTATACTAGGTTAATCTCTCTATTAGAATGTCAGCTTCCTACATTTCTATGAATTTTATTGCAAAGAATGTCTGATGAAGGGATATTTTGAATTAATCAGGTATAATTAATCAGGTTTTTTTAATATAATCACATTACAAAAGAGGGATTTTTAATATTATCCAGTGGCATTTTGTGACATTTATACATCTGACATCCTTTCAATGTCCATCGGAAATTTCTTTAAACAGAACAGTACTGCAGAAAAGGTTCCAGGAAAACAGGAAAATACAGAATCCCAGGAGACAATTTTCAATTTGGAAACCAATTATCACAAACAATTTCATCATAGAAGTACATCTAAATGTCAAACTCCTCCTCACATGGGAGACTCGGAATAAAACCTTTTCATAAAAATTATGAAGTCATTTTCATACTAATCTAGATCAAAAAAATCAGACCTTCCAGATAGTAAATATAAAATAAAAATATGTATGACCCATGACATACCTCAAAGAGATTCTGGTCATTATTGTTGAAAGTGGAGCCATCTATTTTGTTGATGAGTTGACTGACACCGATTATTTGACCCTGTGCATTCTTTATTGGTAGACACATGATACATTTAGTCTTGAAATCTGTTTCTTTGTCAACCTGAAAAAGCATAAAGACATTATTATGATAAATAAATAAAATCTTGATATAAAGGTTTAGATCAAATTGCCTTTCACAGCTGCTGATGTACATTAATCCTATCATCATTATTTGTTGAAGGCTAATGACCTAAAATAAAATCCTGTAAAATGTCTTTGGATATTCTATTAAAAAATTGATAATTCGGCATGGGGCCCACTTACCAGTGTCATTTATGGAATACAATGGGCCAAATACAAAAATAAGAGTGAGGCCTTCTTGATTATGACCCCCTGCACCCTTTAATTCTAGACAGACAACGTTACCTCTAGTCTCTTATCTTATAAGACAAAAACATATGGTAATCTACAGATGTCCCTGACAGTACTTTACTGTGATTGAATGTTTCTGGCATTGATAGAAATGAAACATTGGATGAAGTACTGTTATTCTCTCTCTTAAAACACTTCTGGCTGATGAAGGTCCTACTTTACAAGCATTAAAACCATTGGTTCAAATCCGTCTGCTCTGAAATAATTTCCGATTTTTTCTTAAATATTTGACTGAAGTGCTTGATGTTTTAACATTTCTATACAATTTAGAGGATGCATTTCATGCTTATTCACTTTAATCCTTGCTTTTTCCTCTTCTTCGTGCTCATTTTCTCATTACAAAACATGATCATTGTGATATTTTAACTCACAGGTTATTTGATGAAGTGTGGTGCACACAAGTATTAATACATCACTTCAACCAATCACCATAAAGTAAGGATCTCACAAGTCTAGTCCACACCCCGAAAATGTGATCAGACCATTTCATTTTACCTACAGACCATTCCACCTGCAGACCGTTTCATGGCACTGGGTTTATTTACATTACTATTATGGCTTTTTGACAAATCTGACAGACACAAGATACTACAGGTGCTTAATATCATACATTTACTTTGAATACCAAATGGCCATCTTGTAATTTACCCAGTATGTCCAAAACATGGTCAGATTTCAACACTCGCCTGGTTTTACATCTCTAAAAAATCCAAATTGAAGTTTTCTTGGAATTTGATGACGAAGTTTATGTGGTACACCCCTGCCTGCCCACCCACAGAGCCCTCTACCCGGCACAAGATGACTACAATTAACCACATTTTTTAAAGTGCAAGGAAAACATTGGAAAAGAGCATATGAAAAATGAGATTGGTGGAACAGTTATTGGATGAAAGGGTCTCTAAAATAAATGCGTTAATAAACAACTAGGATATATTAATAATCTTCATTTAGAACTGACTGAAATGGTCAAGTTAAACTCATTAATTGTACTCAAGCTGAGTAGAATTCTGTGTTCAAATTGTGATAGATCACCTACAAATCTTTATTTAATATCTTAGAATAGCCGGAAAGTTAATTTAAGAAAAGCGTGATGTAACACTCCTACAGTTAGGCTAAGTCTGGCACATATCTCTCACTAAAATTCCATCGAAATGAATAAATTCCATGCATTATATCAATAGAAGTATGGATTTTATTAGTTTTCACTCTATTCCCTACCGATTCCGCACTTTTGAGAGAATTCATGAGAACATACTGGGGAACATAAGCCAACATACAACGTCATATTATTGCAGTTAAAGGGTGAGAGTTATTTTGATAACTTCAGTGATAGAAATTATTAGTGTCTTAAAGTATGACATCATTCCCTAAAACAAATTATTTGTATATTATCATACACTGGATTAACTACTACTAAGCTTTTAAGATTTTCTTGGTCTGCAAGTAGTCATAGTCTATCACAATTGGCACGGTACCGAGTCTTTAGTCATTTGAGACGTATCATAAATTTGACAGTTTCCGTTCATTATGAAGCAATTCGACACCTCCTTCAGTGGGTAATTGAAATATGGGATATATGACCTCACTTCCGTGACTGTGTGTATATTAAACTTGATTCAGAAACTCATAATTTCCTGTCTTTCATTTTGAGTAGCTTATGTTCATTTAAGCCAATGAATTTTCAACCATTCCACTTTCATATGAAGAAGTACAGAAAAACTTGTGTTTCTGAAAATCTCACTTAAATCCGAACATCTACACAATTTTTATCAGTGCCATCTTTTAATCTGCTATAGACAGGGGATAGAGCCTGTTTTTAGGTAAGGACTGTAAAACGACCACAGGCTACCGAGTAAAATCACATCTACCTCTCTACGGATCAAAAATGGAGATCTGCATCCAGTATCTCTATTTGTACCAGACAAAAATACTGGACACATTTCTACCCCCGATAGAATTCCAGGTGAAAAACTCAAGTGTGAACACCTGTCAATCTGAACACTTTTGGCTGGTCTTAATGGTATTCAGATGAAACAGGTTTTTCAATATCTTGTTTTCTAGTATTAATATTACCCACATGCTTATTTACTTTATTCCTTTATATTTCTCCAATATTCCCTGTTTTTAAAATTTCACGAACTTAAGAAATTTCCTAGAATGAAATCTCAGGCTGGGTGAAGCTTACGTATCATCTTCTGATATTTCTCTGCAATTTATGGCACTAACGACAAACCCATTTAAAGATCATGATTTGTTGATATTTCCGTGATATTTAACCTTTCCTGAAAAAGATGCCCTCAAGGGAATCTCGGGAATTAACCTTGTGTGATATGCAATTGTTTCTCTAACTTAGAGATAAGACAGGGTGTTGATCAGCAAATAATTGGCATGAATTAATTTTGTAAAATTCATCATGCTGACTAAAATATCACGATAGTTGTTTTTCAAATGCAAAATAGAAAGGAAAAGAGTGACACTACCAAGGAATGAAGTAAACAGACATGATAGTTGACACTCTATATTGAAAAGAAATGCCAAAAATTCTGAAATTATATTCAAAATGTTTAGAAATAGAAAGGAAAGAACCCTGGAAACATGGACTTTTTTGAGAGAGAACACTTTAACAGTTTTCTCAGATAAGACAAAAAGATATTAATAAATTTACAAATCCTTATAAAAGTAATATCATTTTTGTGAGAATCTTATCTTTGCGGCAATGACATCTTCGCGATCCAGATATTAATTTGACAACACTGACATAAAATGGTTCAAACTAACACTATTATCTTTTGTGACTCAGATCATCATCAAAAATAATTTTAGGTAAATCTGTTAAATAGATTTCGAGTGATTAATCAAAGTATAAAGTTAAGCTCTTCATTCATCAAAATTATTATTCAATCATATAACTTAATATCAGTGAGTATACATTTTCGGTATCAGCTTGTTGTGTGTGGTTTTCCTCCTCCAAAACAAAATCACCTAGTGTTACGTAAATCAATGAACAAAATTTACCACATCAAAATATGAATGATTTTATTCCTCGTGAGTTTTACAAAGAGTATAACACTCTCCTTTAATGTTTTAATATATCCTAGTCATTGTATTTCATTGTATTTTATTGTATTTCATTGTATTTTATTATCCAGTCAATGTAAATGATTGATTAATTTTCAACAGGCCTCTATTTGTAGTATAGACTATATCACAATTTAGCAGCTCCACCCCATGCAGATCTTTTCACAGCCTACCAACAAGCTTGAAGGAACATAACTAATTTCGGGTCATTAAGTACATGATGAAGTCAGAGGAAATGACCATATATAAAAGATTGTCCGTATTTCAATGATGAACTTTGATTGTCTCTGCTAGTTCAAGAACTCTAGTTTTAAGAAACAAAGCCGAACAAATACAAAGGGTACTAGTTAAGAGTATAAAACAACTCATCTCAAAGACAACTTAATGAGATCTGATGTTATTTACTTTCTTTAACATGGAATCATGGTCAAAGTTCCTTATTTATAACCCGCCTGTTTCGCAGAATGTCTCCCACGAGTCTCATCATTGTACTTTTTAGTGAGTGCTATCTAAGTCTCATCATATATCTTATGGTTTCATTTTATCAGTTGAGTGATCCGTTATGAACCAAATTCTTCAGTTTTTATTCGAGTAATCTACCAGGAGTTGAAGCACATCGTTGCTGAACTAATTAGTATCTAAATTTTCTAAATAATCTGCATATGAATCAATCTCAGGGATAACCAATCATTCAGATTCTGGTGTTTCATCATATGATAAAAAGGTCATTTCTGGATTTGGGGATAATATATGAGTTTTATCTTTCTGGGTATTGAGGTAATATGAGCACCTGTACAAGATTGTCCATTCTTGATGAGCTTTGATATTTTTTCTTTATTCTTTATTGAGTTGATGGCGAGAAAACTAATAAAAAAGAGCTGTTATTCATCAAGAATTAATGTTAGAAGTCTGATGTCACATACATTATGTAGGATGGTAAATCGCATATGACATATAGTCTGATGTCACATACATAATGTAGTTTGATGTCATATACATCATGTAGTTTGATGTCACATACATCATGTAGTCTGGTGTCACATATATCATGCAGTCTGATGTCACATTTATCATAAAGTCTAATGTCACATACATCATGTAATCTGATGTCACATATATCATATATTTTAATGTCACATACATCATGCAGTCTGATGTCACATACATCATGAAGTCTGATGTCACATACATCATGAGGTCTGATGTCACATACATCATTGAGTAAGATGTCACATACATTTGCAGTCTGATGTCACATACATCCTGAAGTCTGATGTCACATACATCATGAAGTCTGATGTCACATACATCATGAAGTCTGATGTCACATACATCATTGAGTCAGATGTCACATACATCCTGAAGTCTGATGTCACATACATCATGAAGTCTGATGTTACATACATCATGAAGTCTGATGTCACATACATCATGAAGTCTGATGTCACATACATCATTGAGACAGATGTCACATACATCATGAAGTCTGATGTCACATAGATCATGAAGTCTGATGTCACATACATCCTGAAGTCTGATGTCACATACATCCTGAAGTCTGATGTCACATACATCATGAAGTCTGATGTTACATACATCATGAAGTCTGATGTCACATACATCATGAAGTCTGATGTCACATACATCATTGAGACAGATGTCACATACATCATGAAGTCTGATGTCACATAGATCATGAAGTCTGATGTCACATACATCCTGAAGTCTGATGTCACATACATCCTGAAGTCTGATGTCACATACATCATGAAGTCTGATGTCACATACATCATGACGTCTGATGTCACATACATCATGACGTCTGATGTCACATACATCCTGAAGTCTGATGTCACATACATCATGAAGTCTGATGTCACATACATCATGGAGTCTGATGTCACATACATCATTGAGTCAGATGTCACATACATCATTGAATCAGATGTCACATACATCATTGAGTCTGATGTCACATACATCATGAAGTCTGATGTAACAGTCACAATCATCATTAAGCCTCTCAATGATGGTCACATAGTGATGTGCTATTGTAATACATATCTTGTATATCAAAATGCAAATATCGGAAATGAGAGATGACAATTGCAAAGCAAACGAAATTGTCTGAACTGCAAAGCTCAAGTTAACTTCCTGGCTGCCATTGTTACTTTATATTAACTAAACACAGAATGTGTGATGTTTGGTAAACAAAGTAGACACACTACACACATTTAAAGATAATTTGTGCAAATTGGATACATAGACTGTGGACTACTCTGATAATTGTAACTTCTGCTTTTCATGGAAGGTCACACATTCCAACATATTTCAAGCAGTCTGTATGATTATGCTGGGTACTTTCTGGGTAGTTGGACTTCATGTAGGGGTGGCAGACGGCCCTCAGGCCAATTTATACCCCCACCCCAAGAAAACCTTGGGGGTACTTTAATACCACTTAATAAAAAGAATACTAATGCAAGTCATACATTCATAGTTTTTTAGTAGGCAGGGCATACCATGGTTAGTCAGTGCCAGAAATTTCCAATCTCTAACTTATATGGTTACCATGGAAACAGTATTTATATCTCAAAATCTTCTCAATTTGACCTCCTCCCAAATATGTCCCTTCGCTCCCAAAGTGAAATATTTGCAAATTTGTTCGGAATTTGTGGCCACCACTTTGTCAAAAGTTGTATAAATATGTATATATTCACACTAAAGCACTAAAAAGTTGATATAATGCTCCAATAAATTAATAATATTTATCAAATATAGTCACACACAACTAATTTTAGGGAAAAGTGGGCGTGGCACTTTTTGGTACTTGCGTAATTGTTGCAGCATTAAGCGAAAAATACATATTACACTAACAACAATTGACATTTAAAGGGACAATATCGGAAATCGGGAATAATTCCTTAGAAAAACTTCAAAATAAATCGTTGGTGCCTCAAACCTGCCCCTAAGAATGGCTACGACGTGAACTTACTTTTGTCAAAATACCGGAGCCTGAAAAAAATCACTCACCTAGATATCAACGAAAGAAGTGTCAGTTTCGTTCGACTGCGAGAGCAAAATTGAAGCTGAGCTAAACGGTTTTCGTTTGTCGTAAAATTGACCTCATTTAACTGCGCCATCTGGCGAATGAATCATTGTTTCGTGTCATATGATTCGTTGTTTTGTGTCACGTGACCTACCTTTAGACCTTTTGCCACCTATCGTAAGTTAATCGAATTAAAATGAAATTTTTCGATCCAAGAAGAAAATTTGCACAAAAATTATAAACCCCGCTTGACATAATCTTTGTCACTCTATCGTCTTCTTGATGAGGCACATCGGAACTTGGGATTAATAGCCATTCAACCAAGCCACAGAAAGTATGTATATTAGTTGTTCAACATGTTCAATTGTGTTAATATTTCCCGGAACTCGGCCTTTAATTATCATCTACTAACATTGTGTAACATTGTAATATGTTCATTATCATTATTAGATACTTAAGATATTTTATGTAAGTGTTATCATGAACCTTCCTTTTATCCCTATACCATAGAAGGTGGGCATCACGAATGGTGTCAAACTAACTTTTCTGTTTCATTGATTTTTTACCATAGACAGGGGAAAAAGCTTTACTTGAAGTAGTGACCTCATTAGGTGCTATGTATATGGATAGATGGATTGATACTAGTAGGTAGATGGCAGCACTTGTGCTAGTTGGACTAGATACTAGTGTTTACCATTGACTTGACATATTTCACTTAGTCTTGATTTACCATATTCATTCTGTTGGATTAAAGTAAACCTGCATTTGCAATGAATTTTATGATGTTCAGATTGTGTTTGAAACTTGATGATAATCAGATTGTGTTGACTGGATGTTGTTCAGATTGTGTATATATGAACTTTAAAAGGACCACTGAAACAATAAGTCAATGTTTAAGATTCTTTAAAATTATGTCAATGAGAAATTAGCCTGTTAACCTATAGTTAAACTATACTTCAGCAAAGCAAATCTCATCATTTGCAACTTTTTCATTATTTGATAATTTAACCCATTATTCTTTATTACTGATTATTAAAAATTGCAAGGCATTTAAATGACCTAGGGAAGCCAGTGATATAAATTGGCCTTATTCATTGATTTACAGTAAAATGGAATATTGTGAAGAACAAGAGAACTGTTCCACAGCTTCACAGGAAATATGGGAGCAAAGTCAACAAGGGATGTGGGAAACTAGGCTGTTTACATAGAGAGATTTAGAACTCTCCAGGGAAGTGTCTCTATTTGGTATAAAATACTCATTATTCATGCATACCATTTTAAATATGACTCAAAATAAGCGATGTCCATGTTTCTGGTGAAAGCATCAATTGAAAGAGACAAACATCCTACTCCTATGGTATAAAATATAAGGAAGTTCAAAGCAGTAAAAAGGTATTACCATTTTAGATTTGATTGAATAAATTGAATCAGTGGCAATTTTTAAATTTTGGTATGTTAAAAGAGGCTCTGTTGGTTAGATGGGAGAATTAGCTGCATGTTAAAGGTGGCGTTTTGCTCAGTTTATAACAAAATTGATATTTAGCCCGAAGCAGTAATAAATATTAAGCAAATATTTCATTCTATGGAGGGCAATACCTATGGGCTGTGGGCAATACATATTGCAAAAATCATTGAAGGTGCAGTTGTCAGAATCCCCAGGCGGGCAATACTCAGGGCAATAAGGGATACATATTTTATATGCCAACAATTTAGGGAGCTGTGAAATATGCTATTGTATTTTTAGTCCCATGGTACTGAATTAGCCAATCAAATCACATGATTAATAGCAATGATGTAATAATTAGTGCTACTTCCATGAACACCTGTTTTGTAGAATAAGATTCTGATTCTCATAAAAAAATATGAAAATACAGGCACAAACAAAGTGCATTTCGAAACTCTGCTTTTGGATATTGATGAATTGAATGATATTGTCTAAAAACTTCTGTCAGAATTGAAACAATTTTTCCCCAAGAAAAGTCAACATTTCAAAACAACAGCAATAGCTAGAACTATCTTATTTAGATGTTTACTTGACAGTATGTAGAATTGGGGAATCTGGACAGAGAATATTAACAGAAGTAGAAAGATTGATAAAGAAAATGGAGTTTTAGTGTGGGAGGGGGGGGGGGGCATGTAATTGTATACTTGTTTATGTAACAATCATTTCATAAAATTGATAAAATGACATATTCTAGACAAGGATAGGCATTTGCCATCATAAACTATGAGGGATTATGACTCATAAACTTAATAACTACTGGCAGATGGCAGCACTAAAAAGCTAGAAACACATACTAAAAAGCTCCAACTAAAAGTTGTTTTTCAAAGTTTTAAAGAACATTCAAGCCTTTTAAATAGGATAATACTGGATGTGAATAGTCAGTGCACACTGTGGTAAAAGTGGATTATAGAGAAATTGTGGATAATAAAAGTGATTTTATGAGGAAAATCTCTCAATATTTGCACTATTCTGTACACAGGTTTGGAACTTTTACATTGCTAATTTAGGAACTGTATATACTGTGCCTACACTTTGCCTGCTACTTAGGCAATTTGTAATTACCTGCATTAACAGTTCACACTGTAAACTTTTGATATGGCAGAGCATGATCCACCAACAATAAGTCAGCTGTTAGCAACACAGCCTGATATATTAAATGACTCAATAGACTCTGAAGTTTCAACCTCTGCAATTTTAAATGAATCAAACACTTCGATTAACATTGTGCCTGACACGCAACTTGAAATCACACTCTCTCCTCGCAGTAACCTGAGCCAACGTCGCACACTACGCCCTAGACCCCAACCCCCAAAAACACCGGGCAGAGCCAAGCCTAAGGGCAGACCACCCAAAACAACAAGCGATTGTGCCAAAATCCTTAATGCCATAATGGATCTTAAAGCTTACCACAAAAGCTGCATGGACACTGCAAATACAACACTCATTGCTTTACAGAAGACTAATGAAGACCTTGTGAAGCAACTTGCCTCTAAAACAGTGCAATGTAGTGAACTTGATAAAGAATGCCAAAGTCTTCGCCAACACCTCAGTGCTGCCAAGGCAGAGGCTAGAACCAATGCAAACTGCCAACCACAAACACTTAATAATCTGATCATTGGAAGCTCGATAGTGCGTGATATTGACCCCTCAAAGCTCGTCAACACTGATGTCATACCCATAGGGGGTGCTGACATAGACACTGTACATAAAAAGCTGACATCCTTGGAGACGAAATATAATACTGTATACTTACAAGTAGGGAGCAACGATTGCACCAAACCTTCCAAACCAGATGAGATTGTCAACGATTTTAAGCTGCTTATAAAAGGGGCCAGTAACATTGCATCCAAAGTGGTTGTATCCAGTATCTGCCCCAGAACTGACAAGCCATCAGCCCAGGAGAAAGCAGAGTCCATTAATGCAGCATTACAAGTGATATGTGAGGATGATAATACAATCTTCGTGAACAATGACACCACCTTTAAGCTACATGATGGAGCCATTAACGAAGGTTTCCTCTTACACGATGGTCTGCATCTTTCTAAGGCCGGGACTAATCGCCTTGCTATCAACATGGGATTAAAGACCAAGGCAAAAGATATCACCAAGCCATTTAAGCCCAAGCAAAGGAAGCCTAAGCAGAATACACCCATTCCACCAGAGGAAACCCCCGCTGTTTCTCCAGCTCATCCCACTACTCCAGTACCCCAACCTCAGCACATTATACAACGCGCTAGAGAGCCCGAACACTCTTGGACTACCGTTACAAGTAGGGGAAATAAGCAGCAGAATGATGTCACAGCTAGGGGCCAAAGCAGGAGTTCAAACAATGCACCCTACTGTTACAAATGCGGCGAATCTAGCCACCTAGCCAACACATGTTGGCACCCCAGCACCGTACGCTGCTACAAATGCAAGGGGATAGGCCATAAACAATCTAGGTGTACTAACAATGCCCAGCCAAACCCCTACACCAACAATGCGCAAAATCAATACTAGGTACTTGGTGAGGATATCGCCTTCTCCCCTGTGAACGCTCTCACCCATGGCCCTAAACCCAACACTACGACACATAAGCGTACACGTAGAGGTGCACGTAAATCTACACAGGCTGCGAATATGCCTCTAAAAATTGGTTTTAATAATGTAGAGTACCTAGGACTTGCAAAACAAAATGAACTTAGTGAACTTCTCAATGATGAAAATTTTGACATTTTGGGAGTCTGTGAAACCTTTTTCAGTGATCGTAACCCTTTAAATGTATCAAACGATGACTACACCTGGCTAGGTAAAAATAGAATTGATAGATCAGGTGGGGGTATAGGATTCTTTATTAAAGATAATGTAACTATATGCGATGATAATTTGCTTGAATCCAATGATGACACTTTTGAAAGGTACTGGATCAAGGTCAAGCTGTATAATAATGTTTTTAACTTCGGCGTTGTATATTTTCCAAATGATGGGAAGAATGTGCACATAAGTGAAGCCCTTTCTGAAGAGCTTGCATGTAATATTAATGAATTGAGTAGAAGCAATGAATATATTATTTTAATGGGCGACTTCAATGGACGCATTAAACAGTTTTCCTATGGCAAAAATAGCTACAATGGAAAATTGATTGATGTATTAAGTGAGGTCACTAATACCACTATTTTGAATACAACAAAAGAATGCAATGGCGAAATAACATGGGCACGAAACAATCTTACATCAACGTTAGACTATGTACTTGTCAACAAAGCATTCTTAGATATTTACAAAAGTATGATCATTCATGAAGACCACGATGTGTCTGTGGGCAGTAGTCATGCATTCTTAGTTGTCCATGCATCTTTAGCAACTCAGCCCAGCAAACCAAACCACCATAAGAATAAGTGTGTAAATGATTTTACTAAATGGGATTTCTCTGAAGATACTGATTGGTCACTATTTAAGGATAATTTGGCATGTAATTTTAAAAACTGGGACATTTCTAAGTATACAGATGTTAATGATGCCTGGTTGCACTGGAAAAAGTATGTTAAGGATGCAGCAATGTCTACCATTGGTACTAAAACAGTGTCTGTGAACCAGCGCTCATTTTGGGATGACGAGATTAAAAATCTCATCAGATCCCGTAAACAAGCATGTCGTTTCCACAGATATTGGAGTAGATCAAAGTGTTGTGACCCTGATATCCTTAGTGAATTATGGGAAATGTATTTAACACGGAAACAGCAAGTCCATGACACTATTAAGCAACGTCATATTCAAAATCATATTAAATGTATTACAAAAAATGCACAGAAGCGATCCAATTCTAAATCATATTGGAAAACTCTAACTATGTTCAATGCACGGGCTGGTCATCCAATTCAAATTAAAGATCCCAATGATCCTCAGACTACTATCACTGACCCTAAGCTCATTTCCCAGATGCTGGGTGATTATTGGAAAAGTGTTGGCACAGCTAACATAAATCCTAACACTACGCACGTTGATCATAAAGAGCAATTGGGCATTTTAGAGTCAAGTTCTACTTTTTCTGACAATGCCATGTTTAACTTCACCTTTGACCTTGATGACCTTACACGGTGTATTAAGAAGCTTGATAACGGTAAAGCTGTTGGTATTGACCAAATCCCGAATGAGTTCATCAAAAATGGAGGCTTTTCCCTTCATAGTTCACTTTTCGAGCTTTTTTCTGAGATTAAAATTCAAGAAAAATTTCCGTCAGAATGGAAAAAGGGTCTCCTGCAGCCATTACATAAGGCTGGCGACACAGAACTCCTAGACAATTATAGGGGTATCACAATAAATTCAAATGTATATAAACTTTTTACCTCTCTTATAGAGAAGAATATTCTGCACTTTTTTGAAGATAATGATATTCTTGGCGACCTTCAAGGTGCATTTCGTGAAAACCTGAGATTAGAAAATCACATTTTTGCTCTTAAGGGTTTATGTAGTATGAGAAAGGACAAGAACCTTAAAACATATTTAGCATTTCTTGACATATCTAAAGCGTTTGACGTTGTAAACAGAGATAAATTGTTCATCAAGTTATGGGAAAAAGGTGTGCAAGGCAAAGTCTGGCGTCTTTTACGTGCGCTTTATGATGGGGTATTGAATAAGGTAATCTTTGGTCTGAATTCCAGTGAATGGTTCGAGTGCAGCCCAACTAACTCTTTAAAGCAGGGATGCTGTCTCTCTCCAACTTTATTTTCGCTTGTAATGACTGATTTAACTGATTGCCTGAAGGAAGAAAGACTTGGCATCCCTTTTGCAGATAAAAATGTCCCAGCCCTTTTGTTTGCTGACGATATAGTCTTAATCGCTGAATCCGAAACCCAGTTAAATAGAATGTTAAAAGTAGCAGACAATTTTGCATTAAAATGGGGCTTTAACTTTAGTTCGAAAAAGTCCAAGGTTATGGTCATTGGCAAAAGGATAGATAGGCATAAAGTATGGATCCTTGGTAATTTGGAACTTTCAGAAGTACAAAACTACAAATATCTAGGTATTTATTTTGATAGAACACTTAAAGATTCTTACCATGTGAATAGTATTCTGGCAACAAAAGCTAAGAAAATGAATGGTATGTGTGTTGCAACCTTAACAAAGCATTGCGACATCAAAAGAGTACATTTTGGTACCACAATGTATAATTCAATGTATTTACCTGCTTTATTAAATGGCTGCCCTATATTTTTACTTAATGCCTCTATGCAAGATAAGTTCAAATCCATGCAATATAATATGGCAAGATCTGTACTACAATTGACCTGCCGTCCTGCTAGGGAAGCTATTCTAGGTGACTTAGGTTGGAGAAACATAATCGAAGTTATTGAAAAACGTCAAATTGACTATTTTATCTATCTGAAAAGTAGGTTAAAGCCAGGTTCTCTACATCAACGTATTTTTAACACAATGTATGAGAAGTTTTCCATTTCACATAATGACAAATGTTCATGGCCTTATTTTTCAAATATCAATAACATTTTGATCAAACATGGGTTAGACAGAGCCATTCATGTTGATGACACGGACTGGTATCAGGGATATCTTAAAATATCGAATGAAAGAAGCAAAAGCAGTTTTCTAGACACCATTGCAGACAAATCCTCTCTTGTTCTGTACAGCTCCTTAAAAACAAATTGTTTTCAAGAAAACTACCTTAAGACTGATTTTGACTTTTATGGTCAGAAACTGAAATTCAAGGCAAGATCAGGGTGTTTTGGTCTGAATACTGACAAGGAGCGATGGGGCCAAGGTAATGGGTTATGCAATTTATGTGATACGAATGTCAAGGACTCTATCCAGCATCGTATGTTTGTATGTCCTCATTTTAACAATGAAAGAACTAACTTCTTTCTGAACGTGATAAACTCCTGTAATGAACAACTGTCATCTAGCCTTATTTCTGCTAATATTCCAATTAAAATATGCTTGACCATGGGTGATAAAGCTTTCATTGACTGGGGAAATGAACAAGGTCATATTTTAGATCAATGTGTAAAGAAATATCTGAAAGCAATTTATATTCCCTATAATAAGGATTGATGTATTTTAGTGACATTATGTATTTTAATTTTGACTGTAATTGTATGCATGTTTGTATGTGGATGCACCACATTTTCAATGTGTGTGCCACTGTTTTAAAAGTGATTCCAATAAATAAATAAAAAAAAAGGGGTAGTAATATGGAACATACATTATATGAAAACTGTAACCTTATAAGATCTTCTCCAATTTCTTTCTTTTTTTCTTCTTTTTTTTATTACTTTTTTATTCAGTCATACCTGATTATAAAGGACCATTTATGTTACAGCATCAGGGCATATTACGTATAATATTAAGTTACTTAGGTATAAGTTATAAATTATGACTGTCATCATTTCTACTGTGCCAAAATCATTCAACCAATTTTAAAATGGAATACGAGAACAAGATTTCTTACTTTAGGTTATATTCCTATGTCTAATAATAATTGATATTATACATATTTACTTTTATTGTTCTTATACACAAAACAGATTTGTTTAGATATTATTTTAAGCTTCAACATAACAAACCACTATCCATATTGAAGGAATCACTGAAGGTACAGCATTTTGGAAATGTGTAAATTGTTTATATTTCATTATTTGAGCCAGGCCACAGGAAAGGGGGTCTTATCACATATTTTTCAATATTTTGATTTTTTGTTTATCTTAAAAAGCACAAAGAGACCTTTCAAATGAGCCATGACTTATGTCTTAACAATTTTTTCTTGCAGATATAGACCAAAAGACGGATTTGAATTTAGCACATTTCCCTCTTAATCTTGAGCACATTTTTGGCTCTGTAGCACAATTTTAATTTTTGTGATAAGACCGGTTTTCCCATGGCCAGGCTCATTTTGCGAAATACTAAAAGGAGTGAATGTTATACCCGTACCTTGTTAACCATGAGTCAATGAATGCATCATATGATATCTGCAAAATGATGCACAATGCAATTCATACATGGAATGATTTATTTTGCCATCTTGGAATCAAGTATTATCTTTAGTCTATTGGATAGATCATGCATTACCTGATGTTGATGTATTGATAATAAAATCAGTTAGTCAATTGTGAGACACCATTTGTCCGAGAAAATAAGAAATCTTAGTTATGTATTAAGGCAGGGCATAACATTTCACCTATCATTTATTTATGTTTACTACATCCCCTTTACTAGGCCTAGTTAGTATTACCTTCCCTTTTAAAGCGGAGTGAGATATCGTTAACTGTGGCGCTCATGCACGATATATGAAAAAAATTATCATACTCCATAGTTCCACTGTCATTTAAGCCTGATTTGGTACAAATGTCAAAATGATAAATGAGTTCATATAACTCAATCCAAGTCATAACTGTAACAAGTATGCAAATCACACCAGCACGAGATAACATCATACTCAAAGGATGGAACGGTCCATTAGTTTTCAATTGCATAAAATGGCTCTAACCCTGACAAATGTATTAATCAATTTTAACTCATAGCTCTTGATCAATGGAACCATTCATATTCTAGGTACAAGTCAATGAATACGACTTTGACAAACTAAAAAGACTAAGGACCTCTAAAAGTCTAAAAGACTAAAAGTTAATTTGACCATTGATGACCTGTGATAGGGAAAGGTCATGATAACTCTTATATAAAATATTTAAAGTATCTAATAATCATAATGAACATATTACAATGTTACACAATGTTAGTAGATGCTAATTAAATGTCAATTGTTGTTAGTGTAATATGTATTTTTCATTTAATGCTGCAACAATTACACAAGTACCAAAAAGTGCCACGCCCACTTTTCCCTTAAAGCAGTTGTGTGTGACTACATGTGATAAATATTATTAATTTATGGGATCATTATATCAAGTTTTTAGTGCTTTAGTGTGAATTCATACATATTAATTCAACTTTTAACAAAGTAGCAGCCACAAAATCCAAACAGATTTGCAAATATTTCACTTTGAGAACTAAAGGACACATTTGGGACGGGCTCAAATTGAGAAGATTGTGAGATATAAATACTGTTTCCATGGTAACCATATAAGTCAGAGATTGGAAATTTCTGTCACTGACTAACCATGGCATGCCCTACCCACTTTAAAACAATGAATATCTGATATGCATTAGTATTCTTTTTATTGGGTGGTATTAAAGTACCCCCAAGGTTTTGTTGGGGTAGGGGTATAAATTGGCCTGAGGGCCGTCTGCCACCCCTACATGAAGTCCAACTACCCAGAAAGTGTCCAGCATTATCATGCAGATTGTTTGAAATATGTTGGAATGTGTGACCTTCCATGAAAAGCAGAATGCATTTCTAGAGCACTTCTACAGAATAGTCCACAGTCTAACATATTGTAGTAGCTACAGTAGGTATACTCACAGAAGGATCAAATCTGTCATCTTTATAAGCATCTGGTATATTGAGAATCTGAAACGCCAAGAATCAGTGTATAATTTATCAATTTATTCATAACAACAATTAATTTTGTAATTAATTTCTGTAATTTTGTACATGATATGTAATCAGAAAATGTAATAAAATTAATTTTGACTTAATATAATATTTATAATCATAAATTCATCTTTTAAAAATGCTTAGACATAAGGCCCCAACTCCACGACATGACTTCTACAGAATTATAATTAAGTACAATAATTTGAACTTAATATGAGCTTATGTTCTTGAACTAATTTCAAGAACTGCTGGGGACTGTTCTTGAAGTGTTCTTGTTGTTCAAGAACAGTTCAAGAACAGTTCATGAACACCATAATCTCTACATTTTATTAGGGCTAAAACTGATACAATGTAAAACTTGGAACATAAATAACAAAATGAAATTGAGATCATTAGCCCAATGGACCAGAATCAAGATTGGGGATTTATGGAAAAAGGATGCTAAAGAAATTGGAACTAATTGTATAAATCAAATAGAGCCTTTGTAATCTACAAAAACTGGAACATACCTCCCCTGTTGTAGCTACATAGCCTGTAACTCCAATGTTTATAGGAAACCTCGGCTCTGAAGAACTGAAAAATAAGAACATATACCTTCTTTACTATTACTCGTTCTTACTCAAAACTGTATTTCTTTTCAATTTCCATATATTATTTTGCCTTCTTATTTTCATGTCTTTAAAGGTATTTAATGTCTTTTCAGGTATTGTCAATTCTGTCATTTTGCTACTTTCCAATTATTCATTAACCATACCAGATGAAATTAAATGCATTTCCTAGCTAAAAGTATATTCAAAAGGAGTGAATTCCCATAATATTAATTGACACACTTTCAAAGCACTTTAATATACAACTACTATATTGATCTTCAAGGAACAACAAATTGAACTTGACTCATTTTGACCTTGACCTTCCATGTGACCTTAAACTTCTATGTGATATTTAAAGTAGAGTGATAGTGGTTGCTTCAGAGATGTATCACAGAAGGTCAAAACCTCTGACCTCCAATGACCCTAACTGGGTGATAAGAAGATGGAGTCTTTACAGAAATAAATAATACACAGTTCAAGATTTGATCTGGTGAGAAATAAGTATGATTAAAAAAACATTCAAACACATTCACAAGAAAACATTAGAGTAAATGAGATAAGAATGTTAAGGGACAAAGAAAGATTATTAGACTATTAATTTTAAAACAAAAGAAATATTTATTCAAGTCAATAACATACAAAATGTCACCACCTGCCATTTGCTACAAACACCAACCGCCAAACACCAACAGCCATCCACAAAATGTTGGTAGCTATAACAATGCGTCATTTGTTGAGATGGTGACATAAAAAGGATATCAAGTACACTCCTACACAAAAAAAATTACAAAAAAATAATGGTTACGTCAACATTTGTTTTACACAGCCTATCATAAGGTTACGATTAAGTCATGGACATTTTTTAAAGAATTCACTCTTGTCACTAGATAATGCTAATACCTCCTGAATCCTAAAACTCTTCACAAAATTAATATATTAATAATGTACTATTGGGAATTTAGTTTAATTCGTTTTCTAAAGCACACAGAAAAGTGTTAAATAAAAGTATAATTACATCGTGGCCTTCCATTTCAGAAGCTTGTTAAGCCCTCAAGCCCACATTTAAAGCTAGCCTTAAGTGTAAATGGTGTTTTATAAAAAACAACATTTATCGAAAAAATGTCAATGTTAACCGAAAGATCCAATATTTAATTTTAGCTTAACAATGTATAGGCTTGTGGCAAGACATCTTAACAACGATACGGAACTGTTGAACTTAAATATTCAATATAGTTCACGGGAAAAATAAGGATGGAATTTCAGACATTGATGAAGATTATTCAGATGTAAAAATACTTATATAAGGCCTTCAGCAATGCCAGCTTTAACTTATCATAATTTATGTAAGTAAATCAATATCATTAATTATTTCATATAACAGAATATAACAATTAAATTATAAAAATAACTGTTTTATGTTTTCTTATATCTCTTTTCAAGCCAAATAAACACATTATTTAAAGCGCATCAATTAAAGATGTTTATCAATATCTATTATATGGTCTGAGGACGAACAAGCTTCTTAATGAAGGGGGTAGTGTAATCAGTTGGCTATTATAAATACCATATTGTGTTATACAATACCATGTTATTATCTATATGTTGTCACTCACTCTGTATTCTGATAAATGTGGAATCTACAGTTTAAGAGACAAGATCATTATTTTGCATGTTTAAAGTGCTTTTAAGAAATGTATTTCAAAAACCTCACTTATGTAACATATATCCATACTTAAGTTATTTGTTTGAATCAACAGAAAAAAAATTGATCTCTATAAAATTTCAATCATCAGCAACAAGAAGAACCATTGAGAAATACTCAATACAAGGATAAGATTTCATAAACCTTTTATTTAGCAAAAACGTTATGGATTCAAAAATTAAATAATTTCATGGGTGAATCTTTCAATACTCATAGATTTATTGTTTTTATTTCTTCATTAAGTTTGGTTAAGTAAAACCTTATTTTGTATTTTTATCACAACTTTCCTTCATTAGTATGCAACGAGGGTAAAATAAAACAGGTTATTATTATGAGACTATATTCCACCGACATGTTTAATTTGTACTTTACCAAATATAAAAAGTATTGCAAAATCTAACCACTAAATCAAATCTGTTCGAATAAAATAAAAAATGTTTACTTCTTGTATAACAACCTTTCAAAATCCTCCTCATCAAATCAAAATATATAGTTCTTGATCATTTTCAAAGGCATAAAAGAAGGTATACAAGATTGTCAAATGTCAAATAAAATGGATAAATATTATAGTGTTTGACAACAATGACTTTTTGTCAAAAAATAAAAATGACTTACGCTCCTCGATTACATGATGCATCATTGTCAAAATCACTTGCTTGGAGATCATAAACTTGGGAGAAAACACCCTGAAAATATCAAATAGAAACATTGTTAGACACCGCACATTGGAAATATAAACTGAATTGAAACATTTCAAAACACCTTTAATGTGGTTACAATACATCTTAATTTTTTAACTGTCATGTTGCCATAGGGTAAATTTGATTAAAAATAAACCTTCCTATAATCAACCCACACAGGAAAAAACAGGGATTTTTTCCTGGAGATCTGGGAAAGTTTCTTCTTAGGGTGTTAAAGTACATTAAATAGTTTAAAGTGCCAAAATATAAGACACTTAATTTAAAGAATATTTTTGCTAGCTTATTTTCAAAATTAATTTTCATGCTTTTCTGTCTCATTAAAAAATTGCTTTAAATGTTTTACAGGAAGGTGTGCAAGCGATAAATATAAGGGGTATTAAAATAGAACCCAGTAGACTCCAACATTAATAATAAAACTGTAAATCTATTTCTATTAAACATGCAATATTAATTAAATTTCTGCTTATATAAATATACCATATATACAGGGTGGGGGTGGGGCAAAAAAACAGTACCCAAGTTTAAGGATGAACATCATATGATATACCGTTAACCCATGCCATGTATATCATTTTAAAGATAAATCATTTCCTAACAATATGACGACATCTGATTGAAAAAACGTTGTTTATCGTGGAGTTAGAGGCTAAAATTGACACAAGAAAACAAAGGTTTTTCAATTAGATGGTGTCATTTTGTTAGGAAATGATTCATCTTAAAAATGATATATAATATATGACATGCTTTAACATATCGTGTGAATCATTCATCTGGCCCACCCTGTACTTATACTTTAGACGTATAAGGTCATTTAAGGATAAGCAAAACTTGGAAATAACATTGTTAAAATTGGTCAATATATTATTAATTGATTAATAAAAATGTTGGGAGGGTCATTACACGGTTTTATATTTGTAAAGTAAAATAAATATGGATGTTTGAAGAGGAAAAAGACCATAATGGGTCAAATAAATTAAAAATATTTTGGCTGTGATTTGGGATGTGAATTAAAGCCATTCTTTTAATTTCTAGTTTATTTTTTGATCTTAGTCAATTTCAATTAAACATGAAGTATTAAAAATATTAATAAAAACAATATGAACGTTTTAGAAAGATGATTTAAGTGAATAACTTAGTAAATGAAGGCAAGTTTAAGATAGACATATAAACATATTTTGACCATGATACAAAATTCATTATTCAAATTCAAAATTTTTAGATATAATAAGTTGCAGAAATATTTATGAAACACTGACAAAAATGCAGTAAATTGTACAAAAGCCTTTTGTGTATGATATAATATAAAAAAGTGTGCTTTGTATTTAGATTTTAAGGTAACTTACCTTAAAATGACCCTGATAATAGAATAAATCTTAAAGATAACACTAATATCAGAATAAATCTTAAAGATAACACTAATATCAGAATAAATCTTAAAAGATATGAATGGTTATCATCTTTTATTTCACTAAAATGAGAAATTTAAAACACTGGTGAAAAAAACATTTTCCATTTGCCTTGATTTTTCTAATACATCCGAAGTACTACAGTCTAAAAGGAACAAATCGTTTCTAAAGTATTAAGATGTTTCTATAGCAACATGAGTTAATGTATGGAATAGCAATTTTCAATGTGAAGCACTCATTTACAAAAATGGTAAAAATCTATATAAATGTCTTTGGTTATCAATATTTTTTGAAAACAACATTATTTGTATAAAATTATGTGTAGTGTTAGAGTTATGCATGCAGAAATTGAAAAATACCCAGCCACCAAAATGTTAACCCTTTCAATACCAGAAAACTGCTCTACTAATTCACACACGCCACAAAGTGTTAAACTGCTATCTAACCAGCTCCATTGCATGCATTTTGAAATTGAAAAAAATCCAGCATTTTATGAAAAAATTCCAGTTCCAGACAAATGCTGAAATTGTTAAAATAAAAAAGAAACTTTAACCTAGTCACAATGCATCAAAATCTACAATTAGTACAAGTCCACACACATTAAGAAAAATGTCATCAATTTTAAAAAATTAAGGTAAAGGGTCAACAGTAATAAAAATTCAAAAAGAGAAAGTTGAATTAAAGTCACCAGATTTAATATATTCACCATTTTAGACTTGCAATTCTTTAAATTATGTGTATTTTCTTTATTTGCCTGTAAAGGAGAAAAGTTTTACGATAAGCAATCCCATAATGCAGTATGCTAGTGAGTGCCACCTTTAAGCAGTTGAGTGAACTACAGTGATATGTCATACTTAAATCAGTCAATTGCTCAAAATATGAATAAACTGCCCCTCCCCTTTCTGGTTCTTATGTACATTTTAGAGTATGTTCTAGGAACATGCCTGTTTACTATGTTCCTTGCTTAATTTCCCCACATTTCAATGTAAATCACTTGATCATACCATTCACAGCAGTTCACTTCCAGAAGATGACAACGATTGCAAGACATAGCGCAAACACACACAACGATAATCATGACATACCAGGCCAGGGCTGTCCAAAAGCATCAAGATTTTAGACAACCCTCGTATGTTAAGACAATCACAAAATATTTGCCAATATCTTGCATATTATTCAATGGTGATGTACAAAAAGCATTTGAACAATTCTCCATTTCGCTGTTCGCTCTTTGAATCAGAACGTTCGCATATATGGTGCATATATGTACTCAAAAAGGACAAAATTTGATTGGTCAATATTTTTCAACGATGCATTTCGTGTAGCTATTTGTGAGACCCGAAAGTTCTAAATCAAATTAATTACGCAATTTTGTTTTTACACCCGCAAGCTAAATAAAAAAATGACACCATCGGAATTCTTCTTCTTTGTCATTGAATTAATAGTCAGTATACCAGATTTAATCAATAAAAGATTATACAATTAACAACAAAATTAGGAAACGAGTATGTAAGATTTGCTTTCGAACCACTAAACTTGACCTAGATAATAGCGACGTGTCTTCTTTGGTCAAATGCTCAGTTGTTTGTGGGTTTTCAACGTAACTCTATAATGTAATATGAAGATGAGTACTTTTATTCAGTTGTTGCATCGATGTTACAGTTTGTAGTGCGGTAATATTGGCATGAACGTGTTGAAAGTCGAATGGAATTGCTTTTTCCAATATGGCGACTAGTCACGTGACTTCTTCTCTTCCGGAATATACTCCCATTTTCAATCATTGTTTTCACCCCGTTAGGAGCCAATAAAATGAAAAAAAATATATGTTATATAAAGATTATTAAAAGACTAATTGTTTCTGATAGTTTGTTTTCTCCGATCGCATGGAGATTCGATCGAAAATATCGCTTGAAAAATGGGTATGAAAATCCCCATGTTAAACCAACGGGGAAAAACAAGGTAGAAAAATTTTGTTCCCCCGCGAACTGCATCATGGGAAATATTTTGACCTTATAAGGAAAAACTTTCGCGCCATCTTTATTAGAGATTCAATACTACCGAATCCGCGATTTTAAGAATTACATAACCACCATTCCCTTTAGTAAAGCATTTATACTACAATGTGTGAACATGTTTTAAAAGCTTCAATATCTATAACCCCATCTTACAAGCGGATTATCAATGTTAAAAGCTCAGATGGTTATAATGGCTATGGTATTTTATTAAAACATTGCAAACAACAACAACAACATCGTCAAGGAGACAAGGTCAAGGTATAGGCAAATGGTATATGTAAACATGCATGACTTATTAACAACTCTACTGAACCATCACTGGTGGCCATGATCTTCTTCTCAAAAATCCAAGATCAAAACATTACTAGTATTTCATCAAGAAAATGCCAAAATGGTCATGCAACAGGATCATCAAAAACAGAGGGTGAACAAAAAAATCTACATGGCAAAGCGTATAAGTTTGGTAGAATACAGATTTTCCATGCACTCAGTTCATAAATATCCTGAAGAGAAGATAGACATGTAACCACCATGAATTCTTTAAACTTGTAAATTGAAAGCATACCTGACTCATGCGGCACTGCAATGCATGCAACATAAAGGTCATTTTTGGTCATTTTATGAACCAAATACGGAATAAAGAGAGAATGTTTTCCCTTAATGTAATTAAGAAGCTAATTTAATAGGGAGTTAAAGCTTGCAATGTTTTTCACAGCCTAAACGTGAACAGAAAATATTCAAGCGATGTATTTGTATGGGCGATTGGTCATACATATAGGTTGGCGTTTTGATTTTATATGCTAGCTTAAGCTCCCTAATAGCTCAATATTTTCCCTGAATAAAATTAAGGAACTAGGTCAAGAGTTCAAAGTTTTCCCTGAATGAAAGTAAGGAACTAGGTCAAGAGTTCAAAGTTTCCCTTAATGTAATTAAGGAACTAGGTCAAGAGTTCAAAGTTTCCCTTAATGTAATTAAGGAACTAGGTCAAGAGTTCAAAGTTTTCCCTGAATATAATTTATTCCCTGGGTGTGCTAAATATTCCTATTGGTTAACCTGAATCTTTATTGGGAAATAGGTTTGGATGAATGTGTTTTGTGCCCGAATATGTTGTGCCTGATAAAAGATAAAATAGAAGATGTTTTACTGTGAATCAACATTGAGTGCACAATTACCCAAACCTGCCAAAAAATAGAAGATGGCACAGAAGTAAAAAATATTTTTAAAAATTGCAAAATAAAAATGCATTTACAATATTGAAAACGCAACCATCAGTTTTCACACCGAAACTGTATGTTCCTTCGCGCTGTGAGAGCTTAAGTTCAGGATGTGGGAACTGATAATCGCGTTAATGGAAGTCTAGGAGGCCTGAATTAAAAGAAGCTCAATATATCAAAAGATTTGATTTAATAAAGAAAAAGAGCAATAACCATTATATACTGAAGTAGGACAATTTGATTCACAAGAAATATTTCTTTGAACAAGTGAATTAAATGTAATTAACTGCAATAATCAATAATATAGATCAAAATGCCATAATCAATAAAAGTAGATCAAAAATGAGTAATTTGAACTCAGGGCAAATAGGCCATTGCTACAATTTATCACTGAAGGTTGAAATATCAAGCAGTTACACTCTGTCTTCAAAAAACGATTTAATGGTCCTCCCCATATTTGCTGTTATATGCAAATGCAGAACTAGGAAGCATACTGACAAGATTAATAGAACAGTACATAACATAGTGTCAAGATTAACAGAACAGTATATAACATACTGACACGATTAACAGAACTGTCAAGATTAACAGAACAGTAAATAACATACTGTCAAGATTAACAGAACAGTATATAACATACTGTCAAGATTAACAGAACAGTGTATAACATACTGTCAAGATTAAGAGAATAGTATATTACATACTGTCAAGATTAACAGAACAGTAAATATACTGTCAAGATTAACAGAACAGTAAATAACATACTGTCAAGATTAACAGAACAGTATATAACATACTGTCAAGATTAACAGAACAGTATATTACATACTGTCAAGATTAACAACAAAGGGACTGGCTCAATATTTTGATGTTGTCCAAAATTAAGAATTACTTTTCAGATTGACCCCCTCCCCTCCTTAACCTATGGTGATATCACTGAACTTGATTTTATGGAAATGGATTTTATCAAATTAAAACAAATTCAGGGCAGAAGTACGATAAACTTATTGCTAAATTCAATTTGCTGCCTGTAAAGTATGACATCATAATCTGGCGAGCCCTGAGTTTAATTGGTTCATCAAAACGGTTCAGGATTTATAAGACAGGTCTCTTATGATTGTGAAGTTAAACTGTTTTATTGACCCTGTTCCTTGAAAAAGCAACAATTGAAGAACAGGACAGCAAGACAGACATACCATATATATAACTTAACAAAATAACCCAAAATAATAATAATCACAGAAAGCAGAAATTACAAATAAGGCAACTTAATTAACAAACATAAACTAAATAACTTAATTATAGTTTTAAAATATTAACTAAATACATGTAGATGTAATTTAATTATTAATTAAATAGTTTAACTCAAAATAAATAAATGGTTTAAATAAATTAATACAGCTAAACATATAGCAAAACCTGTAAATGTGAACACCTGTGTAAGTGAACACCTGTGTGAGTGAACACCTGTGTGAGTGAACACCTGTGTGAGTGAACACCTGTCTTCAAAGAACATCCAAAATGTAAGCACCCTTGATATGAGGTGAGTAATGACACCCATGTATACAAATCCTATCAATGTAAACATATCTAAATAGGACAACAAACCGCTATGTAAATGGACATTTATGTGAAAACCTCTCAATGTGAACACCAATCAATGTGAAAACCTCTCTATAAATGTCAACGCCTCCCAATATGAACCCCTACCATTGTGAACACTTATAAATGTGAGCACCTACCAATGTGAACACTTATCAAAGTGAGTCCCACTCAATGTTAATTCCTTCAAAGATGAATTCAATGTAAGAACCTCTAAATGCATCATGATAAACCATGACCATCTCATTTCTTCTCAGCCCTGAGATGTTTCAGGTGAAACAGAAAGATGCTATGAGTATCAGAATGCTCTCAATGTAATTTCCTCTTAATGTGAGTACTTCAATGTAACTCCTTTAGATATGAAATTAACTCGATGTAAATACACCTCTCAAAGTGAATACCTCTTATTATGACCACCACTGAATAGGAACACCTCCCAATATACTTAATGGTTACATCTAAAAATTAAATGTTCACAAAAGGCAAGTTTTACTATAAAGCAAATTGATCAAACCTAGAGACAGAAATGACACAAATAATGATCATATATTACTTTTAATGTATTTCATTTTCATTTTGCTCTTTCTCAAAATATGAACTTTTCAAGCCTCTCTTGATCTTGTAACAGAATCTTTTCTCTCAGTCTTTCTAGATTTATGGTAGAATTAATTCTCTCAGTTTTTTTAGATCTTCTGGAAGAAATTTTCCCAGTCTAATTGAAACACAAGAAAATTAGAAATATATGACATTATCTTGTGTATTTCAATATTTCTTCGATTTCACAACTTGCTATTTTTACATTTAGCTGACAAAGAATTTGAACATAGGATCATGAAGGTAGATGGCAAATATTATACCGGAGATAAAGGCTGCGGAAAATAGGAGTATGCCTCTTTGCTTCGACGTCTTTTCGAGTATGATTTTGAATTGCTCTAAAATAAAGAAAACTACAAATCAAGCAGTGGTTGTAGACACATTGAGCAAAATATAAAAAGAGAAATAGTCAAACATGTTTTCCTGGAATATTTCAATTCTCCCTGAGTTGGAAATCTCAGAACATAATACAGTGTTTCTACTTGTTTGTTTGTTTGTTTGTTTGTTTCTAAATGTATTTGTATCATAGGCACATGAAAATTCAACTATTATAACGTCAGAGCCGTTTTAAATAAGTAAATAATTCAGGTATTCGAATAAACTGTAAACTGTAGCCAGGAAAATACAAAAAAGAAACAACTGAAGATAGATATAAAAATGAAACATAACATAACTTAGTCAAATAAAAAAATAATGAAAATGCCAATAGCACCAAATAATCGATTGGAACAACAGAATATATTTAGTACATGTACATCGATAGATACAAAGCATACATAACAGAAGGTCAGTCTTCAAAATGGATGATATAAAAGCAAGGTCGCCAGAGCACAAAACATTGGGGTGTTCAGAAGTCCTTTAGACTTAAGATGTTCCATAAAACTTTGGTATTTGAAACTATCATGGGCATATCCAAACATAAGAAGTCACTCAAATATTTATATTTCTTATAATAAAATTTACCAGAACTGAGCCCGTAATTTATAGTGTTTTTGTTTAACACGGATAAAAGATTTAAGTGACATTCTGGATTTCAAAAAATATTTTTAGCTCTGGATGACTTTATCAAATATCAATGGTATTCAAAATTGCAGCTGGAAAATATAGTATAAGCCCAGCAAAGTCAAGTAAAACCAGCATTTAAATACACAATACAGGAAAAACTGTACATATGAACACACCTCATATAGAGCAACTGAAATGTGCACACTTTTATGCCCAATAATTTGAATATCCATGACACCTCAAAATGTGAACATTTTTGCTGGTCCTGGTGACACCAGGGGCGGATCCAGGAACCAACAAGGGGGGGGGCCCAAATTTCAGGTCAGAGAAAAAAAAAATTTTTGGGCCCCTAAAATCCAAAAGTGGGCCCAAAATTTGAAATTTTGAGGCCCATTTTCTTCAAAATTTGGCCTGAAATTAAAAAATAAGGCCTTAAAAGGCCCAGTAATGAACAAAAAGGCCGATTTTTTGGGGCCTGAAGGCCTTGTTTGGCCCAAAAAATTTTTTGGGCCCAATTTTTTTTTTCTGGGCCCACCCAAGGGGGGGGGGGGCCCGGGCCCCCAGGCCCCCCCCCTAATCCGCCAGTGGACACACTAAATGCTTTACTGTATAAGATGAGTGTACTTTAAGTGTAAGTTAAGCATAAGATCAGTGTTTTAAAAGGTAAAGTTCAATTACTATAGCAACTAAAACTACAACATGCTTTTGAATGTTGATAAATCTTTAGTTATTCAAGAAGTATTTCTAAGCACAGAGGAAATGTGTACTGCACCAGCATGAATTTATCATACCATGACATTTAGGTGCATGTTCTTTCATATAGCTTTGCTCATTTGGGAGAATCATGTTCAATAATGCACTGGACACATTTGATCCCATCTTCAACACTGGCGCCTAGCAGATGAGTATTTTGTTCAAATCTTCAACACTGGCGTCTAGCAGATGAGTATTTTGTTCAAATCTTCAACACTGGCACCCAGCAGATGAGTATTTTGTTCAAATCTTCAACACTGGCAGCCACCAGATGAGTATTTTGTTCAAATCTTCAACACTGGGACCCACCAGATGAGTATTTTGTTCAAATCTTCAACACTGGTGCTTGACAGATGAGTATTTTGTTCAAAATTGAGTACAATTTTGAACAAAATACTCTTCAGCCAAAAATCAGAGTAAATGAGATCACGGCACAACACCATCTGAGTGAGAAGTTTTAAAGATAATGCTTATTTTACCTTTTTGTTTTAGCCAAACCAAATTTGTGGTATGTTCAATAAAATTTATGAATTACTGACTGTTCAATAACTTAAAGCATTTTTGGGATGCTCAAGAAAACTTGGGAAACATTTCCAATAATACAATAACAAATCTTTGCGGTGAAGTTTGTGGGATTGTTCAATAATGTTTGAGAAACTCACCTTTGATGTCTCATCCACTAATAGGACTTGACACCTCTCACACTGCAACAATGACTGGGTATGCATCATGATTTTGTGGATGAGGTTTGCGACGTTACTTTGCTCCTCAAATATCACACGCGCCAAGTCAAGCAATACCTGAAAATTAAAAATCATTCCAATGAAGTATAAAAGGTGCCACAGGGTTGAATGCCTTTATTAAAATGACAGAAAATGTATTTAGTTGCACATGCGTCAAATTGTGGATAAACTATAATAAACAGAAAGTCCCCTTGACAAGAGTCGTCTATATTTAAGAAAATCACACTTGGCATAAAGAGTTGGGCATAAAATAATGATGTAATCAAGCACTAAAGTTATATGTTATACGGCAATGATAAACATGCTATAAGTGAGATGCGAAATCTCTATACATGTATTGTGTCAAAGAGACTTATAAGGGTCATATGAGGCTAAACATACAGCTAAGCCAACGACGTCATTGTGGTTTCTTATACGTCAATATGTAACAATAACTGTCGGGATCATCTAATATAAAAAACTAATTATTCTTCTAATAACCAATTATGTTTTGTAAGGATCAAGCGGAGCTGAACTTCAGTATATCTGTACGTGGAAAAGATAACAACTTTCTTTCACAAGTAAAAGAATTATCTTAGTCTATAGATATGTAGAAGAAATCTCTTGGTCACTAGATTGATCTGAGGGAGATATCTCTTGGTCACTATTGATCTGAGGGAGAAATTTCTTGGTCACTATTGATCTGATGGAGATATCTCTTGGTCACCATTGATCTGAGGGAGATATCTATTGATCACCATTGATCTGAAGGAGATATCTATTGGTCTCTATTGATCTGACGCAGAAATATCTTGGTCTCTCCATCTAAGGGAGAAATATCTTGGTCACTATTGATCTGAGGGAGAAATATCTTGGTCTCTCCATCTAAGGGAGAAATATCTTGGTCACTATTGATCTGAGGGAGAAATATCTTGGTCTCTCCATCTAAGGGAGAAATATCTTGGTCACTTTAATCTGAGGGAGAAATATCTTGGTCTCTCGATCTAAGGGAGAAATTTCTTAGTCATTATTGATCCGAGGGAGATATCTCTTGGTCACTGTTGATCTGAGGGCAGGGCTTGCATTAACGGCGTCCCGTACATGTTAAGGACTCAAAAATAATTTGGAGGATGCAAAAATTGAAAATATTTCCATTTTTTGGCCGCACATTTTTTTAAGTCAATACTACAATGTGTTTACAACGATACCTAACAAAAACAAATAATTATGATCTCTCACCTTTATTTGAATCGTAAATAAAGCTCAACATGTTGAATATTTACAAATAATCATGATTCTCTCGAATTTTTTCGACTTTGTTTATTTTTAGATTTGAAACCATGACACGCAAAGGTTTTTCCTATTCAGAAACAAATATTAGGTTCTTCATGAAATAAAATGTATTCATTGAACGAACATGCATTTATTCAGTCCGTACTTAACGTTTACTTCCGTTTTAAATTCGTGGCAAGAAGTATACCTCAAAACTAGGGCTGGCACGGAATTAATGTCCGAACCGTCCGATTTTGCCTTCGGAAACGGACTTTCGGACCTACCTTCTCATATTCCGATAATTTTCGGAATTTTTATTTTCCTTAAAGAACATTCACTTATCGTTATAGCGAAACGCTAACTCGCTATAGCGAACTCGTACTATGAAACGAAATCAATAAATATATATAATTTTTAAACATTTTCACTTAATAAAGTTGTTTTATATGTAATGAATAATAGAAATAAATAAAGTATGATTGTTTTATATATATTCAGTACATATAAGAAAAGAAAATTATTGTAAGAAAGCCAATATACAATATACAGTTGTATGCCAAGGTGCCAAGAAGACAAGGACATTAACATTTTGCCATTAGTTTTGAACATTTATGTCACTTGTTCTGGCAGTAAGATAGTGTTAGTGTTTGTATTTAATAAACTTAAATATATATAGTTGTACACTGCTGTTCCTATGGTAATAAAAATGAGAACTTCAGGGGAGACTGAGTAGGAACTATTATAAATAAGGTCCGAAATTCTGAAAGTTCCGAAGCCGAGTTCCGTTCCGATTCCGTTCCGTTCCGTGCCAGCCCTACTCAAAACAGGCTAGAAATAGGGGACACACTTTTTTTCAAAGGACACACTTTTTAAAAAAAAATTGCGTCCTTGGGACTCACAAATTTTCTAACCTAATGCAATCGCTGGAGGGAGAAATATCTTGGTCAGTATTGATCTAAGGGAGAAATCTCTTGGTCACCATTGATCTGAAGGAGAAATCTCTTGGTCAATTGATCTGAGGGAGATATCTCATGGACACTATTGATCTAAGGGAGAAATCTCTTGGTCACCATTGATCTGAGGGAGAAATATCTTGGTCAGTATTGATCTGAGGGAGATATCTCTTGGTAACCATTGATCTGAGGGAGAAATCTCTTGGTCACTATTGATCTGAGGGAGAAATATCTCGGTCACTATTGATCTGAGGGAGATATCTCTTGGTAACCATTGATCTGAAGGAGAAATCTCTTGGTCACTATTGATCTGAGGCAGAAATATCTTGGTCTCTCCATCTAAGGGAGAAATTTCTTAGTCATTATTGATCCGAGGGAGATATCTCTTGGTCACTGTTGATCTGAGGGAGAAATCTCTTGGTCACTATTGATCTGAGGGAAAGATCTCTTGGTCACTATTTATCTGAGGGAGATATCTCTTGGTCACTATTAATCTGAAAGAGAAATTTCTCGGTCACTATCGATCAGAGGGAAAAATCTCTTGGTCTCTAGATCTGTGGGAGAATTCTCCTAGTCGCTCTATTACATACTTTATAGCACTTACTATCTTCTAAACCATTTTGTTTTTCAAACCACTATGACATTCACTTAAAGTGCTATTATCATAATCAGGCTAATGCATGCAGACCCTGAAGAAATAGTTCACTTTTAGACATTTAGGTGTTTTCCATATTCATAAAATCTCATATGGCATTCTGACTCCCATACCAATTAGCTCAATATAGTGAAACTGGTAAAGTGGATCACCTCTGAAAGTGGAACACTTTTATGCATTCCGGTGTAAAAGGAATTATGGTCCCCTGGGAATTATGGTTCCCTTTCTTAAAGGCCCTTACTGGCCCTGATTGTGGATACGATAATAAAGGAAAGAGTTGTATTCAGGTCACCATATAAATCAATGGAAAGTAGGACCATAATTTGATAGGCCCTCCTACCCTTTTACACCAGGACAAACTGACTTAGTGTTACTTGAACAACATCTCCCAAGTGGAACACCTTTTAGAGTTCCAAGACTAACTGACTAAATGTTACTTGAAAATCAAGTAGAACACCTCCCAAGTGGAACACTTTTAAGTGTCCCAAGACTAACTGACTAAATGTTACTTGAAGCTCAAGTAGAACACTTCCCATGTGGAACATCTTTTAGAGTTCCAAGACTAACTGACTAAATGTTACTTGAAAATACCAAAGGTGTCCCACTTAGACATGTTTTACTGTTCTCACCTGGTTTCGTTTATTTTCTAACTGAGAGCGCTCATAAAGCTGGGCATTCCTGAGTCCTATACCACAGAATGCAAGGTACGAACCAAACACCTGAAATAAACAATAACAATCTAGTAATACAAGTAAACATGCAATATGTCACCACCTGCTATTTGTTACAGATGTTGACCACCAAACACAAACCATCGAACACCATCCACAAAAAAGTTGGAGCCTATAATAATACGTCACTACTTTTGATGATGACATAATAATTGATACTTAGGTAAAAATAGAACTTAGGGATGTATCCTAGACTATGTCTATATCTATCTATATCTTGCTGTAGGTCAATTGTGACTGTGGCATAACTCTATTAAGCAAAGAGTACAGTATATAAACAGTTCATCCGCAATCTGAAAAATAACCCTGCGGCGGGATATTATCGTCATCTGTGACAGGAAATGTGACAAGAAATGATTACATGGTCATTCAGTCTCGTTACATTTCTCCAGAGCCTCATTTCTATAATATACATTTCCATATACCCTTTCAAATGTTACCTACTGCCATATATTTCAAAACAAAATGCAATAGAAACGACTTATCATATCAAGTATCATACATGAGATATGACACAAAATCTAAGTTCTATTTCTGATAATGTGGAGAGATTTTATAGTTCAGTGTTTCCTGAGGGGATCTATATAACATGAAGGAAAATCATAATAAAGGGAGTCTGATGACCAATTCATCATTCTATTTCATTTTACTATGATGGATGATATACAGACATGTATAAAACCAGTATAGGGAATGTGTCAAAATATTTGTGAGAAGTAAATTATACACTTTTTTTTCAATTCAGGGAAAGTGTCAAAATTTTGAAATGGGGAGGGTTGTAATTTCACATTTAAGTTTTATCAGTTTATGTAGGGATTGTAAAAAGTTGAGAACGTGGGAATAAATATACATTTCTTACACATACATACACATTTTCCAGTTTAGGGAATATATAAAAATATTCTAGATATAGGAAGGTATTTCCAAACGTAAATTACATTTGTTTAAAAGGAAAGTTATCATTGCTATATATTGGTCTAATTAAAGAAACATTCTCCTTTGAAAAAATATAGACATTTAATTGCACTTGTCTTAATAAAATAAAATTTAGATCAATATCTTGTATGTCACCCCCCCATCCCTTTTCCTAGTAGCAGCTTACAGATAACCTGACCATTCAATGCTGAGAAAATATACATTAGGTAGAACCCACAAGCAGATCTAGACGGGGGCATGGGGGGCCCACCCCCTAAAAAGTCGGAAAATTCATGTTTTGGCTCATCGCTTTTTACAAAATTTGACTCTTTTTAATTCGCTCACGGTTAATATTACCACACGCCCCCCCCCCTAACACAAAATCCTGGATCCACCCCTGGAACCATTAGGGGGAATGGAGGCTTGGGTTTGCATCAATTTCCTGCCCCCAACCCCCTCTACCCATTATATCTATTGTATACCTTTTCATCCTTTT